AAGAAAATGAACTTTGCTCTAACTCTTTATTCTACTTCAAAACTTAAGTTTTAAAACAAAGTTAAAACGTTTGTAAAAGACTTATGAAAACTTGAAATGAACTTCTCTTTTTTGACTCTTGACTTTGATCGTAACTACTCTTGACTTGACTCTTAACTGATCCTTGAATTGAATTATGGATTCAAGGATTATGATTGGTGTTTGGAAAGATCTCATATTATTTAGGAATGATTTTAGATAGCTAAACATGAGAAAAGAGCAAAACATCATGATTTGAAGGTGGGTCCGCGATGCGGAGGCATAATTAAATTTTGGTTTTGAAAATTTCTTTTGAGGGAGAATACCTCGTGTTAGCTCCGCGACGCGAAGCTGAAACTTCAAATCTGGGCACAAGGCGCGCGACGTGCGGCCATTCTCTGATTTCGTCCGACAAAATTTCTTTTTCGTTTTCCAGCCTTAATTCACCCAAACTCGGTTCTTTTTTTCAAATTACTTTTATATATAGATACCCAAAAAAGGTACTTAAGAACCTAACTCGAAACAACTCTATAATGAGACATAATGAACTCAGAAACTTCTCAATTCATCCCAATTCAAGAACAACATTCAAATTCAAGAATTCATGTTAAGAACATCAACTTTCAAACGTTTTAAGGACGAATTTCACTGAACTAAACATGTTTGGCACGTGGGTGAACAAACTCAATGTTATGAGAGACTCACATACCTTGTAGGGTCAAATCCTTGGCGAATCCGCAACCAATATCGATTGTTCTTGGCGAATCTTGCTTTTCCTCTTCTCCTTTCTCTTGCGTTCTTTCTCCAAAAGCCCTAACACTATTTATCAAAAGTGTAAACTGAACTAACTCAGTTTTGACCCCATCTATTTTATTAAAAACGGATTTAATTAATTGGGTAAGGAAAATACCAAACTACCCATCAAAAATCTAGATTGGGCATTTCCTTATTCGGACACGCAACTTCCAAAAGGCATAACTCACTCATACAAACTCGGAATTGCGCAAATTTGGTGGTGTTGGAAAGATCATTCCATGTGCTTTCCAACCAAATCTGGAACTACACATAAACAATCCTGAGCTAGGAGTTATGGTCATTTGAAGTTGACCGAAAACTCACTTTAACTTACTTAAAACTTTCCAGATTTCCTTATACTTACCAAAAATAACTATTTCCAGATTTTAAATTTCCTTCTAGTTCTTTCTAGTTACGAGATGTTACAATATCTCCCCCTTGGGAATATTCATCCTCAAATGAGATTTTACTCTTACTAAGCAAAGGGTGGTAACATCAAGTTCAAACATCCCAAAAGCAATTTCAAACAAAGAACATGCTCACCCATAATTTAGATAGTACTAAGAAGAAAATCAGTACCTTGGTCTGCATTTTCTCCGATTTCAAAGAGATGTGGATATCTTTTGTTCATATTCTCTTCAGCTTCCCAAGTAGCTTCTCCAACAAATTGGTTCCTCCTAAGGACTTTGGCTGATGCAACCTCCTTTGTTCTCATCTTGCGAACTTAGAGATCTAGAATCTTAACTGAAATCTCTTCATAAGATAAGGTATCCTTGATCTCAATATTTTTCAGTTTCTATGATCAATGAAGGATCACCCATGCACTTCTTCAACATGGAGATGTGAAACACCGGATGAACCGCTTCTAATTCCTATGGTAGCTCCAACTCATAAGCTACATTGCCAATCCGCTTGGCTATTCTATAAGGTCCAATATACCGGGGACTAAGCCTCCCCTTCTTACCAAACCTCATAACACCCTTCGTGAGTGAAACTTTTAAATATACCCAATCATCTACCTCGAACTCTAACACCCTTTTCCTAACATCAGCGTAGGATTTCTAACGACTTTGTCCTGTTTTCAATCTCTCTTGAATTACTTTCACTTTCTCCATAGCTTGATGAACTAAATCTGGTCCTATCCACCCTACTTCACCAATTTCAAACCATCCAATAGGAGATTTGCTTCTTCTACCATAAAGAGTTTCATAAGGATCCATTTGGAGGCTCGAGTGATAACTGTTGTAGTAAGCAAACTTAATGAGAGGTAGGTGATCATCCAAATTCCCTTTGAAATCAATCACACAAGCCCTCAACATGTCTTCTAATATCTGAATAGTGCGCTCTGCTTGTCTGTCAATCTGAGGATGAAAGGCAGTGCTTAAGTTCACCTTTGAACCCAAACCTTTCTGAAAAGATTTCTAGAATTGTGCGGTAAATTGTGCACCTCTATCTGAAATAATGGAGATTGGAACTCCATGAAGTCTTACCACCTCCTGAATATATAACCTGGCATAATCTTCTGCTGAATGGGTAGTCTTTACCAGCAGAAAATGGGCTGATTTTGTCATTCTGTCGACAATCACCCAAATAAAATCATGTTTTCTGCGAGACTTTGGCAAGCCTGTGATGAAATCTAGATTAATCATCTCCCACTTTCATTCCGGAAGTTCTATTTTCTGCGCCAAACCACTGGGCATTTGGTGCTCTACTTTAACTTGTTGGCAATTTGGACACTTGGCAACAAATTCTGCAATGCTCTTCTTTATATTATTCCACCAATACACTTCTTTCAAATCACGATACATCTTTATGGAACCCGGATGAATGAAATATCTGGAGCAATGAGCTTCCTCCATGATCCTCTCTTGGAGTCCATCCACCATAAGTACACACAACCTACCGTGACATCTTAATATACCATCTCCCCCTTGTTCAAAATCTAATACTCTTTGCTTATGAACATTTACCTTCAATTCAAGAAAAATAAGGTCTTGGTCTTACTTACCTTTTACTTCTGACACTAATGATGACTCAGCCCCATTCATTACCACTATACCTCCTTCTGTGAAATCCATAAGTTTGATTCCCAGGCGTGCCAGTCTGTGGACATCTTTTGCTAACTATTTCCTTCCCTCTTCAACATGGGTGGTGCTACCCATAGAAAACCTGCTAAAGGAATCAGTAACAACATTAACCTTACCTAGGTGGTAAAGAATACTCATGTCGTAGTCCTTGAGTAACTCTAACCACCTTCTCTGTATGAGATTAAGCTCATTCTGAGTGAACACATATTGAAGGCTCTTGCGATCGGTGAATACATCCACATGAACACCATACAAATAATGGCGTCATATCTTCAGAGCGAAAACTACAGCAGCCAACTTTATATCATGGGTTGGATAATTTTTCTCATGAACTTTCTACTGTCTGGAGGCGTAAGCTATAACCTTGCCATTCTGCATTAAGACACACCCCAAACCAACTCTAGATGCATCACAATACACCACAAAACCTTGAGTACCTTCTGGTAAGGTCAAAACTACGGCAGTAGTCAACCTTTCTTTCAATTCCTGAAAAAGAAATTCACAAGCTTCAGACCATTGAAATTTCACTGTCTTCTGAGTCAACTCGGTCAAAGAAGATGAAATAGACGAGAACCCCTCTACAAACCTTCTATAATAGCCAGCTAAACCAAAGAAACTCCTAATATCAGTTGCAGATGTGGGTCTAGGCTAATTCTGCATTGCCTCAATTTTTTGAGTATCGACTTTAATTTTCTTGTCCAGACACAATATGTCCCAAGAATGCCACAGACTCAATCCAAAACTCACAATTAGAGAACTTGACATACAACTCCTTACCTTTCAAAGTCAAGAGAACTATTCTGAGATGGCTTGCATGATCTTCATCATTCCTTGAATAGATTAGTATGTCATCAATGAAGACGATAACAAACATATCTAAATAAGGTTGGAAGACTCTATTCATAAGATCCATGAACGTTGCTGCTGCATTGGTCAATCCAAAGGACATGACCAAAAACTCATAATGACCATATTTGGTTCTGAAAGTTGTCTTTGGAATATCACATTCCCTTACTCTTCATTGATGATAGCCTGATCTGAGGTCAATTTTCGAGAAACAGGAAGCACCCTGAAGCTGATCAAAAAGATCATCAATTCTTGTAACCTTGTTCAACTGATGGTAATCTATACACATCCTAAGGGAACCATCTTTCTTTCTCACAAACAAGACCGGAGAGCCCACGGTGAGACATTTGGTCGAATGAAGCCCTTATCTAATAGATCATTTAACTGCACTTTCAACTCTTTCAACTAAGTTGATGCCATTCTGTATGGCGGAATAGAGATAGGACGAGTATCTGGAATGATGTCTATACCGAAGTCTATTTCTCTCTCAGGAGAGACTCCAGGTAGGTTATCAGCAAAGACTTCTGGAAACTCTTTTACTACAGGGACTGACTGAATGGGAGGTACCTCAACACTTGAGTCATTAACTCAGACTAAGTGATAGATACAACCCTTCGAAACTAACTTTCACGCCTTAAGGTATGAAATGAAACAACACTAAGGCATTGTTGAGCTACTACTCCAATATATGGCTGGCTTATTAGGAATCTGAAACTTAACAACTCGAGTTCTACAACCTAGTGATGCATAACAGGCATGAAGCCAGTCCATACCTAGAATGACATCGAAATCCACCATGTCTAGCTCAACTAAATCAGCCATGGTATCTTTGTGATTGATCGAAATGACACAATCACGATAGACTCACTCAGCTAGAATAGACTCCCCAATAGGTGTAAAAATACATAAGGGTTCACAAAGTTTCTCAGAAATAACTTCAAACTTATTTGCAACATAAGGGGTTACAAAATATAACCTAGCTCCGGGGTCTAGTAAAGCATAAACATCAAAAGTAAAGACTTTGAACATACCAGTGACAACATCTGGAGAGTTCTCTTGCTCTTGGCGACCAGTGATTGCATAGAGGCGGTTTGCTCCTCCGCCAGTACCGAAAGTAGCTCCTCTTGGTGCAGCCCTGTCTGGTTGAGCAACTGATGAAGACTGGACTCTATTGCCTAGATTTCCACTACCTTGCTTATTCTTAGGACACTTTTTCATGAAGTGTCCCTCTTGCCCACACATGAAACAACCTATCTATCCATCACGATACTTACATGAGTGGTTTCTACCACATCTACAACATACAGGAGCCCAACTACCTCCTTCTACAATACTACCTTGAGATTGTGCTGGTCCAGCTCTGAAGTTCTGTGAATTTCGGCCATTATACTCACCTTTGTTCTTAGGTGCAGGTGCACTAGCAGATGATGGTGCAGGCCCCTTTTCCTTCTGAAAGGACGAATGATTCACACTACCCTTCTGCTGCCTAGATTCATTTCTTGTCTTTGCTTTCTTATTCTTGAACTCCTCTCTATCTCTAAGATTCTCTTCCTCTACCTGCTGCACATAAACCATCAACCTCGAAATGTCCATGTCCCTACTAAGCATTGCTGCCCGACGCTCTTTTCTTGATAGACGGCCCAACCCAGCAACGAACAAGCTCATTCTACTTCTCATGTCCTTAACCATTTCCGGAGCCTAACGGGATAGTTGGGTGAACTTCAACCCATATTCATGAACACTTAGTGAATCCTGCTTAAGTGTGAGGACGTACCTTGGCCTCTTTCAGTTCCCGAGGAAAGAAACGCCACAACAAAGCTTCCTCAAAATAGGCCCAACTCGCAGGTGGTGCATTCTCAGCTCTAACCCCTTTCCACTGATCAAACCAGGTCCTAGCAACATTCTTCATCTGGTATGCAGCTAGCTCAACTCTCTCAATATCAGCAACATGCATCACGTCGAATACCTTTTTCAGTTCCTCAATGAAGTTCTCTGGATCCTCAGTAGTGTTGGAACTAGTGAAACTTGGAGGATTCATCCTCAAGAACTCACGAATCCTTGAAGTGTCAGCCTCTTCTTGTCGAGCCCCTATTTGCTACCCAACCTTGTTAGTCACAGCTTGGCACAACATCTGGATAGCCTCACAGAACTCAGTATTGGTGACTTCGCCTTGAGGTTGCACTTTAGTTGCATTGGGTAACTCTTGCTCTTCAACATTTCTCCTAGCTGGACGACCTCTGACTGCTCTTCTTGGAGGCATGTTTATTTAAAAATATGCGCAAGCACGAATTAGAAGAAACTTTTTAGAGATCAAACTCTAATGCACGAAAGAATGTGAAAGAAGTGAGATAATTTCCTAAGTGTTGCATCCTCCTAATTAGAGATGTTGCGTGCTTCAAACCGATAACTAGGACTCTACAGACAGGCCTTCATAGACTCCCTAGGACTTTTAATACCTGCCTTTGATACCAAGTTTGTCACTCCCTAGCCTACACCCTGGGCGGGACTGGCACTCGAATTCCATTTTTGGCCCCAATCGAACCCTTGGCTAGGCTTACTTAACTCAGCGGAAGACAATATTCATATTTATAATGATCAATGAACTTAACTTAGCTGAATAATAAAATAACTAAGAGTGTTTTAAAGATTAAACATTCAACTTGGCCAAAAGTGACAACTCAAGTCTTTAACATAACAATGATAATGCAAAAACTACTGAACTACTAACTGTCTATGAAGACTCTAAAACAGAGATGGATGTCGGGATAGGACCCCCGATCACCTAACATCTGAAAGACTAGAAAGCAAACAAGGGAGTCTTCCGGAATGCAAGGAGGCTCACCAACAGACTCTGAATGCTCAAGCTGGATCAACGAGGCGCTGGATATTGATCCTGGTTACCTGCATCATCAGTACATTGAATATACGAGTATGCAAGTTGGAATGCTAACAAGCATAGGCTCGAAAGAGATTATGAAAGAAACACCTACCTGGCTCTTCTCAACTCATGGATACTCAACTCAATATTAAGAAGTAAAAGACATGCGATTTATATATATAAAGGTTCTAAAACAACTGAAAACAACCTTAGTTCATTAATGATAAAGCAATAACAAACTTAACATTACTCATTTAGAAACTAATATAACTTCTGTGGGAGATTCTCTAACCGACAACCATCACTATGAGCCTAAGTAATGGTACAACATTTTACCTCACATTGCCAATGACCGTCCTATACCTTGCCATCGGCATAGAACCTGAGCTACTAAGTGGATCCACTAGTCTATGCTAAAAAGCACTAAGGAATTATCTAAAAAATATGATCATTTTCCTGTCCATGATGGCTATATGGTTTATGGGGGCTTGAGTTAATATGAACTCGCGTCCCCATATCAGTGCTCAATACCACTCCCAAAATATACTTAGCTCAAATGTTTTTAAAACAACTTCTTCTCTGGTTTGAGATAATTGCTCAAACCTAGCTTAAAAAGCTCTTTTGGAATTAATGTTCCCTTTAGCTGTTCAAAACTCTTTGAAAATCTCAGTTTCCTCTCATCTTAAATGTGAAAACATTTACTCTCGGAAATACTTAGTTCCCATATATCATTTTAAAGAAAATGAAATTTGCTCTAACTCTTTATTCAACTTCAAAACTTAAGTCTTAAGACAAAGTTAAAACGTTTGTAAAAGACTAATGAAAACTTGAAATGAACTTCTCTTACTTGACTCTTAACTTTGATCTTAACTACTCTTGACTTGATTCTTAACTGATCTTTGAATTGAATTATGGATTCAAGGATTATGATTGGTGTTTGGAAAGTTGTCATGTTATTTAGGAATGATTTTAGATAGCCAAACATGAGAATAGACCAAAAATCAAGATTTGAAGGTGGGTTCGCGACTTGGAGGCATAATTAAATTTTTGTTCTGAAAACATCTTTTGAGGCAGAACACCTCGTGTCAACTTCGCGACGCGAAGCTGAAACTTCAAATCTGGTCACTAGGCGCGCGACGCGCGACGACCTTCTGATTTCGTCCGACGAAATTTCTTCTACATTTTCCTGCCCCAATTCACCCAAACTCGGTTTTTTTCTCAAATTACTTTTAGATACAGATACCTAGCAAAAGTACTTAAGAACCTAACTCCAAAGAACTCTATAACGCGACGTAACAAACACAGAAACTTCTCAATTCATCTCAATTCAAGAACAACATTTAAATTCAAGAATTCATGTCAAGAACATCAAGTTTCAAACTCTTTTAGGACGAATTTCACTGAACTAAACTTGTTTGGCGCATGGGTAAATTTAACACAACGCTATGAGAGACTCACATACCTTGTAGGGTCAAATCTGTGGCCAATCCGCAACCAAAATCGATCGTTCTTGGCGAATCTTGCTTTTTCTCTTCTCTTTTCTCTTGCATTCTTTCTCCAAAACCCTTACACTATTTATCAAAAGTGTAAACTGAACTAACCCATTTTTGACCCCAACTATTTTATTAAAAATGGATTTAATTAATTGGGTAAGGAAAAGACCAAACTACCCTTCAAATTTCCGGATTGGGCATTTCTTTATACGAACAACCCAACTTCCAAAGGGCATAACTCACTCATACCAACTCGGAATCGCGCAAACTTTCTGGCGTTGGAAAGATAATTCCAAGAGATTTCCAACCATATCTGGAACTACAACTAACACTTCTGGAGCTAGGAGTTATGATCGTTTGAAGTTGACCGAAAACTCACTTTAACTTACTTAAAATTTTTCCAGATTTCCTTATCCTTTCCAAAAATAACTATTTCCAGATTTTAAACTTCTTTCTAGTTGCGAGATGTTACATCTCTCCCATTTCTTTAATAATATACAGGCAGTTGTTCTCGGGTGGACATAGGATCATTCTAATCTAAACAACGTTAAATATTATTGTTCTTCCTAGTTTTTATTTTCACATTTCTGCTAACAGGGGTTTAGTCCATGTTTGAGTGTCGTGGTAAGAATTGGGTCCTAGTTCGAATATCACGTCCTAAATCGAGTGTTGGGGTTAGGTCCTATTTTTGAAGTTCAGGTCCCAATTAAGGGGTCAGGGTCAAGTTCCAATTTGGAAGTCGGTCCTTCGATGAAAGTCAGGAATATCAGTTCGGTCCACCTTCGGAATTCTGGTCTCGCATAAGGTGTCTGGGTCAGGGTCAGGTCCTAATTTGGAAGTTGGTCTTAGTTCAGAACTTATGTCTCTAGTTAGAGTATCAAGGTTAAATCATAAATCATGTGTTGGGGTGGGGTCCCAATTCAGAAGTCAGGTCTCTATTCAAGAGTAGAGTTTGGATCTTGCATAAGATTTGGGGTCGGGTGTCGGGTTAAGGTCTTGCTTTAAAAGTTAGGATTTGTATTGGGTTTCAGGGTAGGGTCTAGGTCATTGTTCAAAACTCTGGTGACATTTCAGATGTTGTGTCCCAAGTTAAATTTCAAGGTCGGGCGTTTGGGCAGGGTCATGATTAAGAAATCATGTCCTAATTGAAGAGTTGGGGTTGGATATCGAATCAATCGGCAAGGTCGAGTGTGGCGCACATCGACAAGGCTAATACAAAAGTGTCTCTAATAGCATTTTCTAATGGCCCAATCTGCTTTTGATATTGTCTACTCTGATCCATTACCCGCACGACTTTAAAACGTGTCACTAGTGGGTAAGATCCTTACTTATATATCAACAAATTAGATTTGTATTGTGCAACACAATATGAAGTTAGTATTGATATAAATTCACTTAAGTATTCAAGTTTTCAACTATCTGTGTTGTATCGACAAATACAAATTTCTTCAGAAACCCTAAAAATGACCAAAATAGATACACTAATATAAAATTTAACTTTCAATACAAATAGAAATTACATGATGAAGATGAATCATGACTAAAATGCTAAAATCGTGACAAAATTGTGATATGTGAGGAGATTTAAAATAAAAACTCACTGATTGTGGATAAAGAGATAGAAAGACCAAACTGATAATTAGAAATAAAGAGAGAAAAATAAAAAAAAATGGCATGAATATAGGCCTTATTTGTTTCCATTAAGATTAAGACGCCTGAATTTGAATTAACATCTGAATATTAAGATGTGCATTAAGATCTAAATGCCTAGATCTGAATGCACATCTGAATATTAAGATGTGGTCTCAAGATCTGAACACTAAATGATTAAGATTGTTTGTTTTCAATATCTGAATGTGCATATGAAATTAAACATTATAAAATATTTTAAAATTTTTATTTCAACAAAAACGTATTACTTTTTAATAAAAAATAATAATGTTTATATTTGATTAAAAAATTATATGATACGAAAATAAAAATTATATATCGAGATAAAATTATTGTAACGTGATTTCTTTAAGAAATCAACGGAAACATCTTTTTTATAAGAAAATATATCATGAACAAATATATATTTCATAACTATAATATAATATCAAAAAGTTCAATAAGTATGATAGATACTAGTCGAAAAATAATAAAGAAGTTTTCAAATCATCAAAGCTTAACATATATTATAGCTAAATAGAAATATTAAAGAATTCATATTTTTTCTCAAATGACCTTAAACCAATTCTCTAACTTGTGAACCTCTAGCGTCATCATGCTTTTTTGTAGATGTCACCTTCACAAAATATACTAACAAATGTACTATATAATTGTTCTTCCCATTCAAGTCCATCTAATTTTTTCTTTGCACTCTTCGAAGCTAGAAGCACTATTTTTTTTAATCAATAACTCCGAAGCAGTACTCATCTTTCCATAAATTTCTTCCTCAAAACTTTTCTTTCAATCGAAACTAAAGATTGGGATAAAGAATTATTAGGAGCTCCATCATGTTGGTCACCAACTAGATATAGTTATAACTTGGACTCCACTCATGAACTCTTGTTGCAGTACAACCTTCAAAAAAATTGTACAAAAAATTGGAAAAGGTAGAGATGAAGTCTTCAATCTCTTTGGTCTAAACAAATTATATTTTCATAAGAGACCTCAGACAAGTATATATAGTTGTTATTTTTAATCATGATTACTAATGTTTTACTGAAAATCTTGAGTTCTTGATAAACATCAATACACCCAAAAGAAATATTACGACAAGAGTTCTTGACAAAAATCAATACAGCCCAAAAAATTGTTAATATAAGAAAACACTTGTAAAGATTATGAAAACTTACCAATTCAAGAGGAAAAATTAGTGTTTGATTGAGAAAAGAGAGGAAGAAA